ATTTTTCTGCTTCTATTGAAAGTAAGTTATTTTTAAGAGTGGATTGGCAATTGAACATGTCAAATGGAATTTGCATATATATGGAATTATCTAATCTAATTGGTTGAATGTTATTTCAAATCCAAGACACAATGGGATTAGGATTCACATTTAGAAATCTAGTTAGTTATCCTACTCATATTTAAAAAAAAACGTTATGTTCGATGTTATAATGAGAACTTTCAAGTGGAAGCTTACCGTTTGCTTAATTCTGTGATGTGTCCAAAACAAACGAAGAAACGCGCGAGGCCTTCAGTCTTTCCCCTCATCAGCAGTGTTGACTGCTGACTAAATGCTTCCTAGCTTCCAAGGATTCACATGTATCTTATCGAAATTTCAGTCAAAGTAACAGGTACGACTCACTTGAAATGTTTGTTCTTGAACGTGTCATTAAGAAAGAAACTGACGGTGAAATACTGTTTTGCACGATCAGGAACAGGAACAACAGTGTCCATTAAATGGCGTATCTGGTATAGGCACTATGTCGAAACACGCGGTGCTCGGAAAGCACTCGCCCCAGAAATAAATCGCAATACAGATTCCGTGTTCAGAAATATGTTATTGTCCCTAATCCGAGTCCCATGTAGAAGGTACAATAATGAAAGGCATAGGGGTGCGTACATTTACTTGGTACATACAGGTGGGTGAAGAGTTTGCGTATTATCTCTCGGCGCACCCCAAATCGAAACATTCCACATGAAGTGCTTTGCACAGTCATCGTCATGGCCATGTCAGCATATATTTCAAAACGATATTAATTGCTCAGTCAGTCGGAAAAACTATTTGTGATGCAAATTATACATTTTGCACCAGGTTGCTATCAGGAAAAGAGTGCTGTAGATGATGGGAAACTTAGCAGCGACATAGAAAGAGTGCAATTTAGAAAGAGATCGACAGAGAGACAGAGAGAGAGAGAGAGAGAGAGAGAGAGAGAGAGAGCAACCTGGTTCCACAACAATTTACAATTGGGGAGTTTATCATTTCGTTGCGAAGTGTGTACCTATATTTTGGGCAGTGTTTCAGGAAGGATACGAATGAGGGGAAGGTGAAAATGATTGGATTGTCTGGTTGGGCATTGTAATATTATTATGTACGGATCTATAACTTGTAAAGCTGCTTAGTAAAAAGTACAATACAATCATGAAATTGGGTACTGGAAATTTAGATTTGCAAAGTTTAGCTGCGTGATTTAAATTTGTTATGAATTACTATAATGGCCTTCTGTTAAAAAAACAGTAGTTTTATCGGTTAGGTCTCTAATATCGTTTCTCAGATCCACTATCCATTATTCCCAGACCATTGCAACTGTCACCACAACAGTCTCCTTTAAGGGTAACATAAATGACACGAGTTAAAGAAATCTTACGACCTCACGCAATATAACAGTAAATATAAAAGTATGCACATGGGCAGTTTATAGTTACACAATTCTGCCGTCATCAATCCAAATCCTAATCTTCTCCATTTTTACAAAAGATGTTATTTATGCTAAATATATTACTCATTGCGGATATAGTATCGAAAATAATATCGCTAGTGGACATTCGTTCGTCTGTTTTTATGTTCACATGTTTTAAATTGAAATTTTATTTTCATTACATCATATCTATAGCTGTACACAAATTATTATACCTTACCAGGGAAGTTTGCAGTGTGCAGTTAACTAGTGTTTTATTCAGACAGGGGGTTTGCTAGTCGGCGTAAGTTAATCCCTGCATCATTAAATACCTCATATATATTTCACTTCTAACAATAGTTGTCCACACGCTCTTACTCGAACCAACTTGCCATGATTAAAGGGCAAGTCCACTCCAAAAATATTTTACCTTCAATAGAAGCAGAAAAATCAGACAAACCAATCAAAAAAGTTTCAGCAATATCGGATAACTAATAACAAAGTTATGAATTTTTAATAGCATAAAAAGTTTGAAAATCACTAGACAAATTGGCTAATCACTCATGAGTCTGGAACGTCATGTCCTCAGTATCTACTAATTATTTTCTTTATATTGATAGTATGAATTTCCTATTTCCCCCCTAAGAATCTTATTTCTTCACACCAACATCAAAGATGGATTGTAAGTAATATGGTTTTGTGTGGATGCACTGATATAGAGTTATTTGTCCAGTAAAATCATGATTCTTTTGGGGAGATATTACTATAAACTATTATATAAAAATCAATAATTACGAATAAACAATATTCAGAAAATAGTATCAACTCTTCAAAGTTTACAAAAGATTTCGTGAACTGTCATGCACGCAATATCATACAAATCATAAAGCCTGGGCAAAGACATGGTTTTCTAAAATAAAAAGGGAAATTAATGAGATTAAACTATATAACGCAATTGATAAATAGTGAGGATATGACGTCACAAACTGATAACCAAATTGGCAATTTATGTAGTGATGTCCATTGTTCCATAGTTTTACATACTTTTTCAAAAAATCATAACTTTCTTATTATTAGTTATCCGATTTTGCTCATACTTTTCTTGATTGGTTTGTCTGATTGTTCTGCTTTTATTGAAAGTAATTTATTTTTGGAGTGGACTTGTAGCACGAACTTCCACCGACCAGCGTAACTTACGCTGAGGCGGCAGAGTTTGGCCAACCAGGTTCGAGTTGGACACATTTTGGCGACTACTGTTTTGTTGGGCAAACACAAGACAAACGAATATGCGCCATGTTGTGACCCGGTGAAAGCTAGCTGGTCAAACTCTATGTATAAATGACACATGAAAGCACACAGTTACTCCCGGGTGTAAGATGAGAGCATCCACACGGTCAACTTAAAGGACAAGTCCACTCCAAAAATAACTTACTTTCAATAAAAGCAGAAAAATCAGGCAAACCAATCAAAACAAGTTTGAGCAAAATCGGATAACTAATAAGAAAGTTATGAATTTTTGAAAAAGTATGTAAAACTATGGAACAATGAGAATCACGACACAAATTGCCAAGATGATTATCAGTTTGTGACGTCATGTCCTCACAACTTATCAATTGCTTTATATAGTTTAATCCCATTAATTTCCCTTTTTATCCCCCACAACTTGATTTCCCCATGCCTTTGCCCAGGTTATATGATTTGTATCATATTGCGTGCATGACATTTCCCCAAAAAATATATGAATTTTGAAGAATTGATACTATTTGCCGAATATTATATTTCATAATTATTGATTTTTATATAAATAGTTTATCAAAATTTTATTTTTCATGATTTAACTGGACAAAAATTACTCTTTATTTGTGCATCCACACAAAAACATATTACTAACAATCTAACTTGGATGCTGGTGTGAAGAAATAAGATTCTTGGGGTGAAAATAGGAAATTTATATTATCAATATAAAGAAAATAATTAGTGGATAGTGAGGACCATACGTCACAGACTCATGAGTGAGTTGCCAATTTGTGTAGTGATTTAAAAAAAAATTCATGTCATTAAAAATTCATAACTTTCTTATTAGTCATCCGATTTTGCTCAAACTTTTTTTGATTGGTTTGTCTGATTTTTCTGGTTCTATTGAAAGTAAGTTATTTTTGGAGTGGACTTGGGCTTTAATACGCTACCCTCTAGTCGTGTTAGCGAGTTACTCCTGGATTTTTCTAGGAGTAAATAGGTCGGTAAAGGTAGGTGAAGCTAACACGATCATCGTTCAGACGGTCACTACCCCGATTAGCTCTTAACACAACATTTTACCCCAGGGTAACTTGCCTCCGTCTGAACAAGACTAATGTGTAATCGTCCATTTAACCTAGCATCGTTCATCCATCCATGAAGGACCATGCATTCAATCAGCAGATGTATTAGTTTTAATGTACTTTTATTAAAAAAACGCTCCTTCTCTCCCCTTTCCTTTTTAATTTTGTTTTGGCTCTACGGGGGTGGGGAGGGAGGGAACACTCCTTTTTTTTCCGTCCAATATTCACACCTCCCCCCCCCCCCTTGAGCAACAAAAAAGTAAAAAACATCTTTTACTTATTTTTTTGCGAAAACTAGTGAGTAATTTCTCCTGTTTTTTTAAACAATGTTGGAAAAGAACGTATCATTGTTTTGTTTTTCAGATATCAGTTTTGAGTTTGAGATCTGAGTGAACACAAACATAAAATTTCACACACATATATCTGTTATCCCTTTTTCCAGTTTGTTTTAAACAAAGACATGAAATTGTACGAATTATTCCAAAGAGTAAGTCCCACTTTTTCACAAAATGCTCCCCCCCCCCCCGAAGAAAAAAAAACAAATTTTGTCAATCTTGGTATCATGTTCCATTTGTAGAATTCTTTCCCGTTTTGGGGAGCACTCTGTATATATAAATACATGCAAATATATATAATACTGATGCAAATCCCAAAGACCATGGAGACGGGCCCGTAGTCTCTCGTCGAGACCAGCCGACAGTTTGACAATCTTCAACTTAATACTGTAATACTCTATCGGGGTCTGATCAGTTTTCACCCATTCCGAAATTTGTCAAATGCAAACGACTTTGGCAACTCTCTTCGAAAATAAATACACAATTTTGAGCAATTAGAATTACAGAATAATGGTGCGTAGCTCTATAATCCCTTTTGGGAACAGTTGATAAAATGTCTCTGCAGGATCAAACCCAGGTCCCTGGCTAAGAACGTCATTGCCTCAACCACTAGACCAAGTAGAATCTGGACAGCAGTTGCAGCGACGCCATATATTTGACCGACAGGAGCAAGTAAGTTTTGAATAATGACAAGCCCCGTGCATCATTTGGACAAATAATTAATAAAGATTGAACATTTGTTAATTTTGATGTGATCACGCTCAACATGCAAAATACGCCAACTTTTCTCATGCGGAATTAAACATGCATCAAATGATTTAAATACTGTAAATTATTATGGTCTGACGATAAATTAGGTTCTGATGAAATGAGTATGTATCACAAGAAAATCAAGCAATTTCAAGAGTAAAATATAGTGTACAAACAATTTATTTAAGAGCCATCGGCTCTATATAATTAAACATGCAAATAATTGACAAGAATAAAATGATTCAGCATCACTATGAACTTAGATAGGAGTATATCCTATCACTGTTTATGTCGACTTATCGTTACTCAATTATATCACAATATAATTCTCCATATTTCCAAAGGAAAAAAGATTACCTGATGACCAGGTCATCCTTCGAGGTATAATACAGTTAATCTCCCACCGACTCTAGCCCGGTCTTTATATAAAAAGTATACTGTTGTGGGTTAGAGAGTCCCGATTTAGAGTTCGTAAATACCACCTCTTCCTGTTTCTGAATAGGCGGAACGAAATACTCTGGTGTATGTAGTAACCCGGTGCGATATGATGCATGACCTGCTAAGCCTGACCGGTGTACGACAGCACTGGGCGTTGACTCTACGACTTGACGCGAGTAGGTTGCCTGAGCTTGTCGACTACGAACACATGTCCATTCACTGATGGTGCCTAGGGTTATGGCTACGAGCCCAGCTTGTCCCTAAAAGAATTAAATGGAAACCAAATAGCCAACCATCTACAAAAATAAACACGATAGCTATAGCGATGTAAATCCTAACAATTTACAACAATCATTTACAATCTCTAGAGCTTAGCTTCACTGACATAAACCACTAAAATAGGCGACATTTATAAATGACCATGTACGGTATCTTTCACCTAGAAATTATAGAATAACACCTATGTCTTTACATATAGTTATACATGTATAACTTTTCAGTGCAATACACTTTCTTAAACCTCATATATTCTAAGCAAACAAAATAATCAAGATTAAGTCTTCCTTATTCAACAAGCAAGATACAACACAAAAATCCATTATCTCGTAGTACATAGAAAATATCTTTCTCTTTATGAAATGTATGAAATTAACCTTCCTTCCAGATAATTACAAATAAGGTAATACATTTATTTCGGTAACTTACAGTTCAGATGTTCAAACGATGATCCAAGTTGAGGCGAGGGCTGATGAGGCTTCTACCACGTCGGCCTGTGCTGCCTGGTTCTTGCCTGGTCCCATAGTATAGGGAAAGTCTATGCCAGCAACAGCATGCTTATAGCCTGTGGCTGTAACTTTTACCTTCGTGGCCAACACCCCTCATTCACTCCCCAAAGTCAGACCAAATTCTGAAAGGTCTGCTCCTCTCGAGATCTCATGTGCAATCTGATTAAACTACCCTAAATCTCTAATCCACGTTGGCTCTCTCAATAGTAACCTCTTTAACATTCTTTGTATTCCTCTCATGCCAAAACTGTCCATCCAAATTCCTTTTACTGAATCCTCTATACAAAACTTTCCTATTAACATTCTCCTCATCCTTTCCCCACACACAGACAAAGACAGACACCTGCTCTACTAGAGACCCAAGTTAGTTGACCTAGTAAATCCAAGTTAGTTGACCTGGTAAATTGCTACCAACAACATCTATTCATCTAACACCTGTCCATTACATTCTCTGTCTAAAAAAGAAATCCCAGTCACATTGTGACATATCTCCCCTTCCTTCAAGAAATTTATATAATTTCAGAAAAAAATTTCAGAGTGGTTTTCTCATTCGATACGAGGAAAATTTCAGAGTGGTTTTCTCATTCTATACGAGGAAAATTTGTTTACAGGAAAATATAAAGATCAATAATAATTATTAACAAAAAAACCTTCTGTTCCTGCTTTACTTGAAATCAACTACTGGTATCTGGTATCCTACTTAAGTAGTCTGCACCGACGTTTTCACTGCCCTTGATAGCTGTGATGCTAAACTGGTACGGTTGAAGCGCCAGAGCCCATCTCAGAATCCTTGAGTTCGCGACTTTTGATTTCGCGATACACTGCAGTGGCTGGTGATCGGTTTCTAGTTCAAAATGCTTGCCGTAGAGGTATGGTTCGAACTTCTGAACACCCCAGACTACTGCTAAGCATTCACGTTCCATAACACAGTAGCGCTGCTCTCTTGGGAGAAGTTTCCTACTAGCGTAGGCGATAGGGAACTTCTTCCCTTCTGTCTCTTGTAGCAGAATTGCACCGAGACCATGATCTGAGGCATCAGTCCTCAGGATGAAAGGAAGATCTAAGTCCGGAAGATGGAGAATGGGTTCACTAGCAAGTTTCTTTTTCAAGGTAGTGAAAGCTGCCTCTTCCGCATCTCCCCATTTCACTAGAAGTGGCTCTCCTTTCTTTGTTCGGTCAGTCAGTGGTACTGCTAATGCTGCGAAGTTGGGAACAAACCGTCTGTAATAACCCACAAGACCTAGAAAGGATCGAAGTTGCTTTTTGGTCTTAGGTCTCGCAGCTCCTTGAACTGCATCGACTTTGTCTTGCACTGGTCGAAGCTCTCCTTGACCTATTCGATGACCAAGAAATTCGATACTTACACATCCTACAGTGCACTTGGTAGGCCTCGCCGTCAAGTTTGCTCTCCTCAGTCTCTCGAACACCTCACGGAGGGTATCTAAATGCTCCTCAAAACTTACTGTATGGATCAAAATATCATCAATGAAATTGTCTACACCATGCAAGCCACGGAGCAAAGCCCTCATGATACGACTAAAGCTTGCCGGAGCATTAACTAGCCCAAATGGCATGCTTCGAAATTGATACAAACCATCTGGTGTCACAAATGCTGTCAGTTCCTTGGCTTCCTCTGTTAAGGGTACTTGCCAATACCCTTTGGTTAGATCAATCTTTGTGAAATACTTGGCCCTAGAAAGTTTTGCAAATATTTCTTCCTGATCAGGTATCGGTTCTGCATCAGTTACGGTAACTTGATTTAACTTACGATAATCACAACAAAACCTGATCGTCCCATCTTTCTTCTTTACCATCACTACCGGGGATGCATAAGGAGAAGACGAGGATTCAACTATGCCAACATCTATCATCTTCTGAACCTCCTCCTTCACCTTACCTCGCAAAGCATGTGGTAATGGGTACGGTTTACTCTTAATGGGTTCCTTATGGACAAGTTTAATGTCATGCTTACCTAAGTTTGTCAATCCCGGCATATCAGTCAAAACTTCTTCATACTCCCGTAAAAGAGAGTTGACCTCCTCACGCTGCTTATCATCTAGATGTGGACTGATCTGCACATCTTTGAGAGATTCTGTTGGGGTAAGATTGGGGAGATGAAGAATATCCTTTCTCGAAGAATGGTTTACATCTTCATTCTCTCCTTCGCTACATTCCTCAGACAAGCCATCATCCACAACAGAGACACCAGCAACATCGAACCCACCTGCACTCTCCTCTCTCCTGTAGTACTTCTTCAGAAGATTTGCATGGAAGGTTTTTATCTTTCCATCCTTATCAATTCTGTAGTCCATTTGTCCTATCTTCTTTACCACCTTGAAGGGTCCTTTCCAGTGCATCAACAGTTTGTTGTTGTCACTCGGAAGTAGAAGAAGGACTTCATCATCAACTTCAAACTTTCTCTCCTTTGCTTTCTTATTGTACTGTCTCCTGTACCTCTCTGCTGATTTGCTGAGATTCTGTTGGGCAACTTCACAAGTCAATTGCAGCCTGTCTTTCAGATCCAATACATACTGATATGTAGTCTTGGTATCCGGTTCATCAACCTCTCCAGTCCACATCTCCCGTAGGATAGCAAGAGGGCCTCGAACTGCTCTCCCAAACAGGAGTTCAAAGGGTGAGAATCCCGTGCTCTCCTGCACTGACTCTCTGTAAGCAAACAAGAGGGGGTTCAAATACCTACCCCAGTCCTTGGGTCGTTCTTCACACATCTTGCGGAGCATAGACTTCAAGGTACCGTTGAAACGTTCAACCAACCCATTGCAAGCGGGATGATAGGGTGTAGTCGTCATCTGACGGATGGAGAATAGACGACTGACTTCCTTCATCAGCTCTGATGTGAATTGGCTGCCCCGGTCTGTCAACACCTCTCGTGGTATCCCCACCCTGGAGTATATGTCCATCAGTGCCTCTGCAACTGTCTGTGCATCAATCCTGCGAAGTGCTACAGCTTCTGGGTAACGTGTAGCATAGTCTACAACGGTAAGAATGTACCGGTTACCTTTGCTAGTAGCAGGTTCTATCGGTCCAACCAGGTCCATCGCCACACGTCTAAAAGGTTCATCGATGAGAGGGGTTGATCCCAGAGGCACCTTCGTAACCTTCCCCTTAGGCGAAGTACGCTGACATGGTCCACATGACCGACAATACCGCACTATATCTGCATGCATACCTGGCCAGAAAAAGTGAGTCAAAATCTTATCACGGGTCTTTTTAGTTCCAAAATGACCACCAAGAATAGATTCGTGAGCAAGCTTCAAGACTTGATTCCTGAATTTAGTGGGTACCACAACTTGCACGAGTACATCTGACCCTGGGGTTGCATCAATATATTCTCTATAGAGTACATCCTTCTTAACGATAAAGTAAGACGAATTTCCACTCTTACTTATCTTCTTTTCTCCACTTTCAGCGAGTTTCCTGGACGCATCCAGTGCATTGTCCTCCTTCTGGGCCTGGATTAGATCATCCACAGACACAATGTCATTCAGTGAATCAGGTACTTGAAGGGGAGGCCTCGTACGTCCTGCCTTCCGCTTCTGTCCTCTTGTCTCTACTGCGTTGGCCTGATGATCTTTTGGCTTCCAGTCTTGGTCTGGGTCAGCTGGTTGCCGGGCTCCATAAATGTTCCCTAGTACAATATCATACACGGGGGTTAGTACACACAAAGCTTCTGCCTTACCTGTGAAGAAAGGAGTATCTAGCTCGATCGTTGCAACTTGGAAGGTTCTGATCGTCCGATCAATGAGCAAGCAAGTCCGCTGTTCTCCAGTGAACTGCTCCTCCGACACCAAGTCTTGCCGAACAATGACAGTCGTACAACCGCTGTCACGTAGAACATCCACGAGCTTCCCGTTCACCATTCCCTTGATGACTGGCATCTCCACTGGTGAACCACTCGCTGCTGCTGATAGTACCGGGAGGGTGTCGCCAGATGCTAGCTTCACTCCGGTTCCATCTTCGGTGAGGTTTTCTCTCACGATGAGACTCAAACCCTTCGAGTCATCCAGATGAGCTGTCTCTCTTGAGTCAGTAGGTCCTGCTGCAGCATCATGTCTGGCTGATGTATCGTCTGCTGACCTGCCTTTGACGAGACTTGATCCCATCTCACGTCGACCTTTCTTTCCACTTGGGCAATTGAAAGAAAGATGTCCAAACTTATTACAAGTGTAACATTTCTTGTTCGAAAGATTAGAGTTGGTTGGATTCTCAGACCTACTTGATCTTTTATCACTACTTGAACTAGTAGAACTGTTTGGACTCTTAGTATTATTTGAACTGTTAGAACTGGACTGCTGGGCTTTCACCCTTCTTACCCTCAAATCTGTATGAGCATCATGATATTGATCAGCTAGAGTTAATACTTCTGTAAGCTTTCCAGGATGACGTTCCTTAACGAACATCAGGCATTCCTTACTGCTTGTATTAAATATCTGTTCCTGGATGAGCAGGCTCTTCAGACCTTCAACATTGTCATCATAAGAGCTAAGATCAATCCATCGATCTAAGTATTTCTCAATTCTATGGGCATATTGAACATAGGTTTCCCCCTGATGGAGTTTAGCATACCTAAACTTAGTCCTATACCCTTCTTCCGTAAGATCATATCCTTTTAGAAGTGAGGATTTAACTATGTCATAATCCTTAACCTGGGAAACTGTAAGTCTTGAAATAATATCCAAAGCCTTACCCGACATCAAAGCACAAATTGCGAGTGCCCAATCCGACTTATCCCACCCTACAATTACGGCATGTCTCTCAAACCTAGACAAATAACTGTCAATATCATCCTTTCCTTCTTGGAAAACTGGAAGAGGAGGAATACTGGGCCTACTACGTGGGTGCCCCGACTGTGAACTAGGTCCCGTCCCATTAGTTTTCCTTAGTTCCTCTAGTCTAATCTGTTGAGCTATTACTTCAGTCTCAGCACTCCTTGCTGCCGCTCGTTCATCTCTAGCTTCACGCACACACTCATCAACATACGTTCTCAATTCCTTCCCCTCCAAATTAAACTCTCTTTCCCTTGTGTAATAAACTTATCTCTCTCCATACTGCAGGCCACACCAAGGTAAATTTACAAACCTGCCAAATGCAGACAATTTATGCAGCGCAAACGTCACCACGCCCTCAGCTCTGGCACAGGCACGTAGAGAAGCCTCCCTGCCCCGACCTGCACTTGCACCACCGTCCGAACAGTCTTGAACCTACAAACACTGTAAACTGGAGAAGATCAAGTTTTCATTATTACACAAAAACAATCACAAGACATATTACCCAATGATAACAATCTAATCATTATAACCTAACCTATCAAATAGACAAAAAATAGTCCCTTCGTGGTCGCCAATATGTCAGATTTAAATACTGTAAATTATTATGGTCTGACGATAAATTAGGTTCTGATGAAATGAGTATGTATCACAAGAAAATCAAGCAATTTCAAGAGTAAAATATAGTGTACAAACAATTTATTTAAGAGCCATCGGCTCTATATAATTAAACATGCAAATAATTGACAAGAATAAAATGATTCAGCATCACTATGAACTTAGATAGGAGTATATCCTATCACTGTTTATGTCGACTTATCGTTACTCAATTATATCACAATATAATTCTCCATATTTCCAAAGGAAAAAAGATTACCTGATGACCAGGTCATCCTTCGAGGTATAATACAGTTAATCTCCCACCGACTCTAGCCCGGTCTTTATATAAAAAGTATACTGTTGTGGGTTAGAGAGTCCCGATTTAGAGTTCGTAAATACCACCTCTTCCTGTTTCTGAATAGGCGGAACGAAATACTCTGGTGTATGTAGTAACCCGGTGCGATATGATGCATGACCTGCTAAGCCTGACCGGTGTACGACAGCACTGGGCGTTGACTCTACGACTTGACGCGAGTAGGTTGCCTGAGCTTGTCGACTACGAACACATGTCCATTCACTGATGGTGCCTAGGGTTATGGCTACGAGCCCAGCTTGTCCCTAAAAGAATTAAATGGAAACCAAATAGCCAACCATCTACAAAAATAAACACGATAGCTATAGCGATGTAAATCCTAACAATTTACAACAATCATTTACAATCTCTAGAGCTTAGCTTCACTGACATAAACCACTAAAATAGGCGACATTTATAAATGACCATGTACGGTATCTTTCACCTAGAAATTATAGAATAACACCTATGTCTTTACATATAGTTATACATGTATAACTTTTCAGTGCAATACACTTTCTTAAACCTCATATATTCTAAGCAAACAAAATAATCAAGATTAAGTCTTCCTTATTCAACAAGCAAGATACAACACAAAAATCCATTATCTCGTAGTACATAGAAAATATCTTTCTCTTTATGAAATGTATGAAATTAACCTTCCTTCCAGATAATTACAAATAAGGTAATACATTTATTTCGGTAACTTACAGTTCAGATGTTCAAATGATGATCCAAGTTGAGGCGAGGGCTGATGAGGCTTCTACCACGTCGGCCTGTGCTGCCTGGTTCTTGCCTGGTCCCATAGTATAGGGAAAGTCTATGCCAGCAACAGCATGCTTATAGCCTGTGGCTGTAACTTTTACCTTCGTGGCCAACACCCCTCATTCACTCCCCAAAGTCAGACCAAATTCTGAAAGGTCTGCTCCTCTCGAGATCTCATGTGCAATCTGATTAAACTACCCTAAATCTCTAATCCACGTTGGCTCTCTCAATAGTAACCTCTTTAACATTCTTTGTATTCCTCTCATGCCAAAACTGTCCATCCAAATTCCTTTTACTGAATCCTCTATACAAAACTTTCCTATTAACATTCTCCTCATCCTTTCCCCACACACAGACAAAGACAGACACCTGCTCTACTAGAGACCCAAGTTAGTTGACCTAGTAAATCCAAGTTAGTTGACCTGGTAAATTGCTACCAACAACATCTATTCATCTAACACCTGTCCATTACATTCTCTGTCTAAAAAAGAAATCCCAGTCACATTGCGAAAAGATTTCAACCAGAGACTTCTGTAAAAGTCCCTGATTAATATGTTGTTAAGAATTTTTTTATAAATACATCAATTTAAAAAGCTTTTTCCCCGTATAAAATACAATGCTTATCATATCACATGCTCCTTAAAGAAAAATATCCTCGTTTAAATGAGGGATTTCTCATTGAGTGTCTAAAAATGATATTCGGGTCGGTCCTGAAGTAGACGGGTCAGGTATTAGGTCAATCGTGATCTCTCCACCCCCCCTCCACCCACCTCTCCCCGGACAACAATCCCCCAGACAACTACCCCCTAGGATAGATGTCCGGGGGTAAGTTGTCCTAGAGGATGGTTGCCCTATGGGGTAGTTTCCCTAGGAGGTAGTTGACCGGGTGTGGTTATCCGGGGGTGGATGACCAGGGGGTAGGTGTCCTAGAACCCTTATAATTACATCTGTTATTGCTTCGTTTGGGGAGGGAGGGGGGGGGGGGCTTACCAAAGACGATACTCACTATAATCGTTTGGATAAAAGAATGTGCACCATATGACCCCGGGTTTTCATTGGAACGTCTGAAGTTCGAAATACGGCGAAAGACACGAGCAAATATTAAGAAGAAAGCGAAAAGGGAAAAACGATGGGAAAGAATGAAAAGACGAGAGATGATGCACAAATATCAGTAGGAAAAGGAGACTACAGCAAATTTCCAATTATTATTTCACATATGCCCTGAAGGGTAAGAAATCAATCAGTCGCTGTTAATATTTTGGGTCTTAAAACTTTGGACAAAGAGTTATGGAAATTAACCTGGCAGAGTGACGTCGACACATTCCTTCCTTTATACTAAAGTCTGCTCTACACAAAAGCACAGAATTACACTATTTAGTTGGCAAATCAATCCTCCCTAGTGAGTTGTAGCTGGTAAGGTTCTGAGTAAGGTTTTATGAAAGACCAATAAGCTGGCAACTTTAGAAGAGGACGCTCTTCCCACTACTATTCTTTTCTACGTCTGTCTGCCTCTCTCTCTCTCTCTCTCTCTGACAGACACACACACATAAAAGTACAAACTGGTTCTCTCTTCTTCTCTGTCTACCCCTCTTTTCATTCCTTCTCTCTGTCCCTCTATCTTCCTATCTCTTTTCTCCAATTTCTCTCTCCGTATATATCGCTACATATATACATATATATATATATATATATATATATATATATATATTTGGCTACCTACAAGACTGACTGAATGACCATCGGAGCGACAGACAGACGATAGGACGGAAAGTTAAACTTAAGCAAGAAAAGTAATCAAAATATAATGAAAGTATAGAACGGGTCATGTGTCCAACATGTATTTCTTATATTTGTAATGCTTTTTTAGAAACATGAAAATAAATTGAAATTGATATTGAAATTGAAATGTCATTGCATTGTGAAATAAACTGTCTAGAAGTTAGTTGGTGGAAGGTTTATGATTAAACAAATTTGAATTTTACATTGGGCGGTACCGTTTTTAAAATCATCAATATGATGACCAACAAAGCAAATCCTGCTTGAATATCACAGTAAAACCATCCGTTGCACACATGTAAAGGTGTAGGGGACTTCCCAATATTAAAGTCAGTCCAACTTTTTAAACTCATAGGGCATTTCAAACACATTTTCGTGTGGATTTACGACGATGATATACACAGTATATAGTTCCAAAGAGGAGTATCTGACAGATATATATATTTTTATATTTACCAGAATTTATCACTCTTTCATGTTTAGGAAAGTATTATATATTACGGATGAAAGTACTAATCAATATAAATTAAAGCATGATACAAAATAAACAGAGAACAAATTATTTTCATTCATGTATTTATTAGCAAAGCAAGCAAATTCGATCATACATTTTGATCTGCCACATTCATTATTCAATTTAAAAATACGGTGGTTACATAAAAGATTAAAGTACGAAAAAGGTTCAAATTTCATAGAATCCAATTGCGGTCCATCTTGCATACTATCATAATTGATACTTTTGTCCATCATAACCCGCTGAAACACATAGAATCACACTGGTTAGTACATTTATTTTATCAATTTAATGTTAAAAGAAAATTAACGATTCATATTTGGATAGAAA